ACTCAGGCAAAAGGCCAGCTATTTACTTACCAAGTCTGCTAAATCTCACTATAACTTCTTTTTCACCAAAGTCCAATGCGATCCAATTAATATGTAATGGATTTCATGTTCATAATATGCTTAGATTTGTTTCATTTGGATAAATTAACCTGTATGTGTCAGTTTTTGTTTGTTTGTTTTACTACACAACAAAATACCTGTAGTAGCCTATTTATTAAAAAAAAAATAGATTTGTTTAGCCAGCAAGGGCCCTTTCAGCTCTATCATCTCTTTGTGGATGGCAAAGGTGGGAACACATGCAGAAATAGATAATCAGATTTCAATTTCAAAAAACACAGGAAGACGGTAAGCTGAAGGATGAAGCTTGGGCTTTCTTTTGGTAGAAGTTCACCAGGGTTTGAACTCAGGGGCACTCAACCACAGAGCCACATCCTCCTCAGCCCTATTTTGTATTTTGTTTAGAGACAGGATCTCACCAAATTGCATAGTGCCTCACTTTTTGCCCAGGCTGGCTTTGAACTTGTGATCCTCCTGCCTCAGAGCCTCTGGGATTATGGGCATGCACAAACAGACCAGGCTCAAGCTTGGGCTTTTATAACCACCTTTGGAGAGCATCCTTAACCTCTTCAGTGGACAAGGCCTCAAAGACCTAAAGACCTTGCATCTATACTGCCACAGTGGGGACCAAGCTTTCAATTTACAGACCCTTGAGGGATAAACCAAATTAAAATCACATTATATTCTCAAGGAATTAATTTAGTGTTTACATCTTTTATCCTCTAACATTGAGAAACTTCTTTTTCTTCCTTGTTGATTTCTTATAAATATTTTCTGCATCTCAAGTTTCTAGAGACTGACTGGAGGGTATAAAATTATCTAAAAAGTTGAAGGTAGAAAAACAATAACTGAGCATTTACTATAAATGAATAAACATTAATTTCATGTTTTCAAAATCAAATATGAAATATGACTAACTTCAAGGTGAATCTATCAAAGTAGTTCTTTTTAGTTTTATTTTGTTGAATTTATTTGGTAATACACTTATTAATGGCTATATGGACTCAGAAGACAAATTCTTACCATGAGGATTTTACAATGTGTTATAATCTTTAAGAGAAATACAACACATAATGCAATGGATCTGTCAAATAGCAAAGGAGAATACTTGAATGGAAAAACTCATGCAGATGTTGCAGAACACTTAGTTCTGCCACAAAACTACTATGGGCACTACTTCTACTATTGTTTGAAGAGTACCTATTTTTATCAGGAATAAATACAATAGAAACCAAAATCTTTTGTAAGCAAGTTGTAAAATCCCCTGCAGTGCTACTGATACAAATTGAAATACAACTTTTCAAAAGGGTAAGAAACAAATCTCTCTCTTTCATTGCCTATTCCTGATGTGACTACAATATGTGAAATATAATATTACTAAAATACTGCTAAAACCAAAACAAAACTATTAGTTCTATCATCCACATAGAAAAACAACAGAAAATAAATTCTACTTTATAAATTTATATCTCTACTTAAAAATTAAAAATAAAAATAAAGGAAGAATTTTATAAACGTCTAAATTCATGATCTTTGATTCTAAGAGAATTTAAAAGGTAAGGGACATATTTATGTCTATGCCTCTTGAAATATTTCTGCCAATATTTCTTTTATAGTGTCCCTACTAAAAAAACTGACAAAATTTAACTTGATTTCAAATATTCATGTTTTTGGCTTAAAAATTATGTATTGTGGATAAACACACTGAAATTAGAATGGTCATTGCATGTGGATGGGAAAGAGATGACAATTAAAATAAGTGGCCTTGAAAATTTTATTGCAATGATGGAAATATTCTGAAACTGATTTAAAAATGGTTCTATCACTTGGTAAATGTATTAGAAAAGTACTGTGTTCTTAAAAATGAGTAAAATATATGATATATAAAAATGTTTCAGTAAGGTTGTACACAAATGAATGAATTGAGTGAGAGAAGCCAGACACAAAAACATATTCTATATGAAACCACTCAATTAAAATAAAAATGGGCACAATTAATTTAGGTTGTACAAAATTAGAACCTGGCAATCTTGGGGTAGGGGTATGACTCATCAGAGCACGTCTGAGAGCCCATTAATGTTCTGTCTTCATCTGGTTGCTAGTTACATGATGAAGCTTATTTGTGAAAATTCACTGAGGTGTACACATATGATACCTGATAGTGTTATGTATATATGTCTTAATACAAAATTATATATAGACACATAACACACAAGTCTGTGTACAAATGTTTTATCAATTTGAAACATATAATCAATTATATGTAAGTTAAATGGGCCATGTATTTTACATGTGTCATAAAAAAATATGAGAAGGTCACCATATAGAATATTCAAATTTTCTATATTTAGACATTACTTAAGTTTAATTTATAATACAGATACCAATGGAAGATTTTTTTGTTTGAACAAGGAAATTCATCAAACTAGTGTATCATCCAGCAATACCAAGTTTTCTGACCTAAAGAGAGGGTTTTGAGGGGAAAAGGGTCTTGAGCCCAACCTGTAGCAAATTTGGAAGAGAATTTCGGGAGATTAAGTGGTAGTATATTCACAGAAGACATCAGTGAACCTGTGGAGCTGTGTCAGGAAAACATACGTCAAAGGATACAGGAAGGAAACTGTTCCCTTGTGTTCCTCATTAGTGTTTCTTAACTTACATATGTAGGATCATTTGTTCTCTTCTTGTTCTACTAATGTTGTGTCCTTCAAGGACCAACTCTAATATTTCCTGTCCAACAAAATATTCCCTAATATAATATTGCTGAAAGAAATTCTTCCTCTGATTGCCTCAATAATATAAATGAGATCAAAATAAATTGTTCTGAAAATGATACAACTGGTTGCTTTTAATCCATCAAAGAGTAGTTGTAGGCAGAAACCATGTGTGCCTTATTTATCTATCAAACCCAAGTAAAGTGTCATAATGAACTGCATGCCGGGCACTTTCTGGTGTCAGCTGAGTTAATAATCGAAATACTTCCATGAATAGGCTGAACATAATATGAAACCTAAGATGAATTCCAAATGTAAAGTTTCTAAAGTTATTGAGTTGCTAAGTCAGTTTCACATTTAGGTTATAAAAATATATGTAATATTTTTAAAAATTATCTCAGAAATATATTAAAGTAAAACAAAAAATAAACAGAAACTGTCAGCAGAATCAAGACAGCTTTTTATAGATATGAAAATGAATAAGAGAGCATAGTTTTTCATTTATACATTGAAAGATGGTTTTAGGTAACTCTAACAGAAGATCTGTTTTGTAGAAGCCTACAATCTTTAAACAAAGGCTAACTGGTTGATAATGTAGGTTTCATTATGTTTCAATGTAATAAGGAGAGTGTTTATGCTGAGGATTGAATCCAGGTCCTTGTGCATGCTAAGCACATGCTCTACTACTAAATTACACTTGAAGCCCCACAATAATGCAGTCTTAAATTCAGTGGTGACATGGTTCATCTTGAACAGATATCAGATTGGATAGTTCTACTGCAGGCAAGTATTGGCATCCAGTGCTATAACCTATTAATCCCAATTCCAAATTTTTCATTCGTAGTTTACACATTAGTATACAGTCTAAGTACAGTCTAAGTACATTTTCAATGTATATTAAAACATCTGCATTACCTGTCACTATCTAATGTATGAGACTAAAGTTATAAAACATTTTTATCAAGATTATATCAGAGTATATTAATATTAATCACTTTTTGTATTTAGTTATAATCCTTCATGCTTAAATATATGTAGATCCTGATAGTCTCTTTCTAGAATTTTAAATTAAAATAATCACATTAATCAAAAATATTGTTTAGAAGATTTGCTTTCTATGGTTTCAATTTTAAAGCATTAATCTAATTAAACTGTCCAAACTACTATTATTATGGCTTATATGTATCATAGTAATAATTAACATTATCTAACATGCTGTGGTTGACATAAATATTTAAAACTAAGTTCATTATAAAGCAACTTAGGTAACTTTGGCCATTCCACAATGTGGAGCCAATTTCTTTTTCCCAAGAGTCAAAAACACATATTTTGAAAAAGTGAAAATGTAGAACATGAATAGATCAAGTGCAAGCAAAGAACTTGCTTTGATGTAGAATTAAACAGTTTTTTAGTTAGCTACTAACTCTAACTTTAAAAACACTGGGAGGGCTTACTCAAGGGATTTACTGAGGGTATTGAAAGTATTTTTACTCTCCAGATTCATCATTTCACGTATGTATCCTGTACAGTAGAGCAGGTCCAGAGGATCCACCAAAACTGAGTCTGTCTTCTCTCCCCACCCCCCAATAATTACAAGATTAAGATTAAGGACTTATTTTGGATGTCCTTAACAGTATCAGCAAAACAATTAACACAATTTCCGTGAGAATCTTATAGAGATCAAATAGCTAATGAAGTTAAAATTCTGCTACATTTAAATGAAAACCTAATCACAGAAATGTAGAATCTCCTCCTTAAACCCCATCCCAAGGGATTCTACAGATTTCTATATTTGATTATCTGATTAAAACAAATAAAAACAATTTACTTACGGTGAAAAATCATTCATCAATAATTTTTATATATTCACTAATTACCAAAATGACATATTAATTTAATTTTTATTCCTCTTTTTTACATGATTAGAAAATTATTATTAACAAAGAATATTTCTGCACTCTTTGGAGAAAATTGTGGTTGAAATTGTAAAAAATATCTTTCATCACTGGTATAATAACCAAGTTGTAGAGAACTCTGTCAAAATAATAACATGCAGATTAGACCAAGAAACGTAATGAACAAGGTAATAAATTTTAATTAGATATTGTCTCAGATTATCATGAAACATACAACACTGCTGATGTCCTTACCCATGTTTCATAGTCACACTGGTGCCCCTTAAAGGTTTATGTTACACGAGCCAAGAACAGAATATTAAAGATACCATACCTTTGAGACATAATCTTATAGGCATCTGGCAGATAACATCGGATATTCTCCATCTGAGCAGGGTCGGAGTCACAGATTTTGTCGTCAGTCCTCCCGTAGTTGGCACTTTCGATCATGATGACGTCTGTTCCTGGACAGCGGAGCTCTATGGGGTAGCTCTCACAGGAGAGCTCTCTGCGGACCACCGCCATTGGGATTGGGGCTCTGCTGAAAGCTATAGTGGAGGAGGAAGAAAGCACAAGGTTAGTAGTGAAGGGCGCCAGGCACCTGTCTGCCTGCCCAGGGCTTGGGGTCAACTAACACAAGGAACACCACAGTGAGGATTCATAATTTTAGTAAAAATAGAATATTTCCCCTTTCATTAACTGTAAAGGATTTTGAAAAATCTTACAATTATTTCTTAAAAATTTATCGCATTTTTTTAATAAGTGAGAAAAAAGGCATTCTGAATTTCCTACTAAAACTTTGCTTGTGTGCGAAGTGGACTATGTAGAAATATTAATATAGTTTGAAGAGTAAGATATTCAGATAAAATTAAGAGGCCTTTATTTTCTTTTTCTCTTTCTCTCTTATGGTGTTCCTTTCTTTAAAAAAAAAATCAACCCAAAATTGCACTGCTGCTGACTTTAAAAATACATATTTAAGTACTCTATATCAATTTTTTAAAGTTCCATTGTTTGAGGCTGGGGTTGTGGCTTACGTACTGAACACCTGCCTAGCATGTGTGAGGCACTGGGTTTGATTCTTAGCACCATATATAAAATAAAATAAAGGATCATTTATAATTAAAACATGTTTTTTTAAAAAAATTCCATTGCTTGATAATTCACATAATTGATAAATTTTATGAATAAATTTATAAATAATACATGCTCTTCCATTAAGAACGTAGAAATTTTTGTTGAGAAAAGTTATGTTTTCCTATATCTCCCTCTCCACACTCTTTCTCCATCTGTCAAGAGGAAATCAGTTGTGGTGAGGATAAAATTAATTGTCCAAACAAAAACTGACATTGTATGTTTCTTCCCACCTCTTTTGATATTGTGTTTTACTCAGGTAAATTTAGACATTATAAACATATTATTTGATTATTATTTGTAATGTGTTATTTTATTTGTAAGGCTAATTATATACGGTGGAATATTTTCACTGCTGGATGTTATTTTCTTCATTTTAATGGTACCTTAGAATATCTACATATTAGCCTATCCTATACTTACCAGCATTTATGAAGAACTCAGTATTTTGTTTCTTAATATTATAAATAAGTATAAATGTATCTATGTATCTTAGCTGAAATATTTTGGAAAAAAATATAATAATCTAAGTTTATTTGTGGCATATTTCTGAAAAAAAATCAATGTGTCAGAGTAAAACACATTTCAAATTTGGAAATTATCAATTTGAAAAAATAAAAATAAAAATGTCTACTTTCACCAGTAATAGTTTGCATTTCATATTAAACATTACCAATGCCTTTAAATTTTGTCTTTTTGATAAAGAACAAAAGTGTAATATCTATTTTAAACTTACAGCTTTATTGTACAACAGAGTATATTTTCATGTTTTTTAACCTTTATTTTTCTTTCATCTGAATTGCTTACTTACATTTAAGATTTGCTTTGCAAAACTTCTTTGTATAACAAGGAAGCTAAACATCTGTCCTCTCCATTTGTGGCAACTTCTTTTTTTTTTTCCTAGTTTGTTGCTTCATTTTAGAATGTTTTTTTTTTTTTTTAATTTTTATTGTTGGTTGTTCAAAACATTACATAGTTCTTGATATATCATATTTCACACTTTTATTCAAGTGGGTTATGAACTCCCATTTTTACCCCGTATACAGATTGCAGAATCACATCAGTTACACATCCATTGATTTACATATTGCCATACTAGTGTCTGTTGTATTCTGCTGCCTTTCCTCTAGAATGTTTAATAAACATATATAGTTAATTTTTAGAAAGAAAATTTCTATCTTTTCATGTCAGTTGAAGACTCCCATTCTAAGACTGAACAATGCCATCACATTAATGGAAGAAAACAAAATATTTAAATGTTGTAAAAATTCAAGAAGACTTCTTTCAAAGCATATAACTGAAATTAAGTGAAGAATTTACCAACTGTCAAAAGTTGACCTCCATATAAGAGAATCAATTATGGAGAAACATGTGTGATAGATTAAATTTGCATTGATAGTTGTAAATTAACTCAGTAATGCACACATACATAAAATATGCATGTTTTCATGTGTTGTTCTTTTTTGTTTGTTTTGTTTTTTACTAAGCATGAGATGCAAAAGAAGAACAAGAGAAGAAAAAGAAGAGAGGCAAAAAAGGGAGGGATGAGAAAGATATTTTATAACTATAAATGTTTTCATTTGAAACAGAAAATATTGATTTGTTTCGTGATATATATTCAAATCATTCTCAATTTTAAAATAATATTTAGAAAAAACAAATCAATATTTTTCATTCAAAAATTAGAGATTAAAATCTTTTTTAATACGAAGATTCTGTTTTCATAGATGAAGACATTTTCATTTAAAGTTCTTACATAGTGGAATCTTTGAATAATAAAAATATTTCAGTTAAGGAATCCAGTTTCCATGATTTATATAGTTCAAACAGAGTCATAGAGGTGTTTTTGTTTCCCCCTCAAAGTCCTTAAAATCACAGTTTTCAGATGCTTTATACTGTGTTCTGTACATTTGTTGAAGAAGACTATTTCTTAACTTTGATATAACTATTTAAATAAAATCACTTTGAAATAGCTTCCAAACATTGCAATCATCTGGACTTACTATGTTGATTTAACCAGTCGATTAAATTAAAAACACAAGCTAATTGAACAAAGAAACAACATATAAGTAAATCACACTGTCAAAGCATTTGTTTGACTAAGTGGACAATTCAGATGATTAAACTCATCAGTCAATTTTGTCAAAACACTGACGTAGCTTTAATCTGGGTCTTCACTGTCAAAAATATCATTTAGAACCAGACACTAGGCAGATGCAAAGTCAACTATAATGTGGAGATCCAAATTTCCCATGTATTTTTTTATGTAAGAGTGATACAAATGTTATGTATATGGCAATTTGTACAATGATCAGAGTTAATGTGTCAAAACTTTCTTCCATTTAACATGTAATTGCATTTGTTTCAGTTACCCAGTGACAAACTATAGTCTGCAGATGATGGATGCTTTGTTTCAAGGAATGTATTACAGGAAACTACTTTCTAACATTATCTAATTAGCTATTTAAATTACCTTTAATTAGTTTTCTGAATATTTTCATCAGCAACCCAAGTCCAAAGGGTGGGGGGAAGGTTTAAGTTAAAAATAAGGTTTTCTATCATTCAGTTGTCATGCTACCAACAGAAAGGTTTTGTTTACACAAGAAATGGCCAAGATTGAATATGCCAACAATCCAAATGTGGTGTGGCAAATCAGTCTCTTGTTCTCCATATTATATCCTTTATTATTTTATTTTCAAATATTCTGTTGCATGTTGTGTCAGGGTAGCACTTATTAGGCATTGTGAAGTAGATCGTGGCAAATTAATTTGGGGCCAAGAAGGCATAAACATACCTTCTTGAGCTCCTTCCTACATTTAGCCATGAGGTAAATTGGTTATAACAAGAAACACAATGCCCTCTGTTAGATGTGTAATAGGTAATTGCTGAATAAGTTGGAAAAGTGTTAGATATGAAATATGGCAATGATCTGGTAGGGTGCTTTGCATTACACTACTCCCTGACCATGAACCTGATTAGGAGCATGTGAACTAACTAAACATCTCTGCTGAATATGGTCAGAACCTGTGGAACTCCCCAAACTCCATATCAATCATATTCCTAACAAAATGTGCTTCTGACAAGGGAGTAACTGTGAGGAAACTAAGTAAAAAGAAATATTAAATAATATGAGAAATAGCTCCCTGCTCTTGCTCACTAGTTTTGTCAGAAATCACTCCCATTATTTCCCCCTTTTTGAACCTTCAGTCATTCTGTTGTTAAAATCTCTTCTTTTCCTGGATCCCCCTCCTTGGGTTCTCTCTCCTGCCCCCTGGTGTGTGACTCTATATGCTGTAAGTCCCTGAAGAACTTTTTTTTTTTTTTCTGTTTTTTTTTTTTAATTTTTTATTGTTGGCTGTTCAAAACATTACATAGTTCTTGATATATCATATTTCACAATTTGATTCAAGTGGGTTATGAGCTCCCATTTTTACCCCATATACAGATTGCAGAATCACATCAGTTACACATCCATTGATTTACATATTGCCATACTAGTGTCTGTTGTATTCTGCTGCCTTTCCTATCCTCTACTATCCCCCCTCCCCTCCCCTCCCCTCCCCTGCCCTCTTCTCTCTCTGCCCCCTCTACTGACATTCCTTTGTCCCCCTTATATTATTTTTCCCCTTCCCCTCACTTCCTCTTGTATGTACTTTTGTATAACTCTGAGGGTCTCCTTCCATTTCCATGCATTTTCCCTTCTCTCTCCCTTTCCCTCCCACCTCTCATCCCTGTTTAATGTTAATATTCTTCTCATGCTCTTCGACCCTACTCTGTTCTTAGTTACTCTCCTTATATCAAAGAAGACATTTGGCATTTGTTTTTTAGGGATTAGCTAGCTTCACTTAGCATAATCTGCTCTAATGCCATCCATTTCCCTGTAAATTCTATGATTTTGTCATTTTTTAATGCAGAGTAATACTCCATTGTGTATAAATGCCACATTTTTTTATCCATTCATCCATTGAAGGGCATCTAGGTTGGTTCCACAGTCTAGCTATTGTGAATTGTGCTGCTATGAACATCGATGTAGCAGTGTCCCTAACCCTAACCCTGAAGAACTTTTGCAGGTGGGGAATCAGGGAGGTAAAACCTGGTGTCCAAACAAAAGTCAGATGGTTTTTCCTGGACCCCAAAGACAGGGTACAGAAATTTTCCAGGATAATTCTAGCACACTAGAGAGGGCCTTACAAAGGAGGGATTTCTATATAAAATATAGGCTTATAGGAAAGATATTATCAATAAGAATAAGTAAAAGATCAAAGACAAAGTGAAAATTAATTGGTTGAAGGTAAAGCACAAGTAATTCAGTTTTATACACATTGAACTTTAGGTGTCACAATAGTACCTGGATATGTGCAAAAGTCACTTGGATTCATGAGTCTAGAACTCAGCAGGAGTACTCGGGTTAAAATCA